TACTCGCTAACAGCATTGTAAATAGCGCTGTTTGATTGGTCAATACAATCTTTAAGATAATAGCCAATTACAAAGCAGAATTGGAGTCACACAATTTGCATAAAATCTTTCTGCGTGAGACACTTCATCCAATGAAAGTCCAAGAATTTTAACATCTAGTTTGCATAAGAACCCTACAAATATGTGGACGCAGTAAAAGGTCTCATACCGTTTCTTTTGGACCTGAAGCGCTTGTTTTGTGCTCAAAATGCCTGAGCCAGCCAAGTCCGCGCCCGCCCCGAAGAAGGGCTCCAAGAAGGCGGTGACCAAGGCGCAGAAGAAGGACGGCAAGAAGCGCAAGCGCAGCCGCAAGGAGAGCTACTCGGTGTACGTGTACAAGGTGCTGAAGCAGGTGCACCCCGACACGGGCATCTCGTCCAAGGCCATGGGCATCATGAACTCGTTCGTCAACGACATCTTCGAGCGCATCGCGGGCGAGGCGTCGCGCCTGGCGCACTACAACAAGCGCTCGACCATCACGTCGCGGGAGATCCAGACGGCCGTGCGCCTGCTGCTGCCCGGCGAGCTGGCCAAGCACGCCGTGTCCGAGGGCACCAAGGCCGTCACCAAGTACACCAGCTCCAAGTAAACTCGCCAAGTCAGCGGCTTCACAACCTAACCCCAAAGGCTCTTTTAAGAGCCACTTACTTTTTCTTTTAAGAGTTGTAGTGCCAAACGAGCTTCTTTATTATGTGGACTTTAGTTGAGGTGGGTTAGAACTAACAGCATAAAATGCAGTGCTTTTTACTGGTTGAAAGCAAAATGCTTAGCTAACCTCATCATGGCTTGACTGTACGTTGGCTGTCTTGCTTCTGCCCATTTGGCTACAAAATTGGCCAGAATAGTGACCAGGTTTCACTCACACTGACACCAAAATGGAGTCATTTAATTTTAATAATTTAACAAGGCTTATCAAATGACTTACATGCATGCAAACACACAGACAACATATAAAAGTATTTAAACAAGATATATAGAGAACAAAAGTATGAAGATGTAAAAGAGAAGGCTAAAGATATCAGGTAGTTATATATAGGAATATATATCAAATCAAAGCAATTACTGGCAAAATAAAGTGGTATGTGATACTGGAAGTCCAAGAAACACCCTTAAGCTATGTTGCTTCCTCTTTAAAATTATGTTCCTCTCCAGTCAGGTTGACTTTCAAGTATTTCATTTAAAAATCATTTCCTAGTTGCAAAAACATCTTTCAAATATATATATATCAGTCTACTACATCACCACCAGTGCCCTATTTTCTGTACTCATGCAAGTATACTGAAGTTTTATACTTTTCTTCATATAATTAACCCAACTGAGGTTATACAATGCCATGAATGGCATCCCATGTGGAATCATGGTTAAAGATACAAAACATTTGGGATCTCAAAACAGCTGTGAATATTGTTTTCAATGTTCTTGTGTAATATTCTTGATCAACTCTCAGACCCTATGCAATATTTAAATGCATGCAAGCACACATACATAATACAACATTCAAAAATATTTAAACAAAATATATAGAGAACAAAATTATCATGAAGATGTAATAGAATGAAACCTAAAGATTCCAGATAATTATATATAGGAATATATGTGTTGCTATAAATAGCTTTATTTCTGTACTCTCAGAATTACATATCTAAGCAAGGTCATAACTTTTTCAGGGTAGTACATGAGCTCCTTGAAACAATGTGCAAGTGTGTGCATATGCTTTTTCCCTTCCAAGAGAAAAAGCATAGTTTTTCATGTTCTAAAAATACTGTGCCCTACTGTGCTAGGCAGTGTAATGCCACCTTATGTCCACCTTAAGTCACTGGGAATGTTTGCTTATATGACAAGAGCAGTTAAGTTTGTAAATGTTACTAAAGTTGACAGTCACTTGATTTTAAAATAGGGAGACTATCTTGAATTAGATGAGCAAATCCAGTGGCGTGAACACATGGGAACTTTACAATTCATGAGAGCATGAGAACACAGAAACAAGACAAGGACACAGCCTCTGAGGGATTTAACTGGAGATTGCTGGCTTTGAAAGTGAAGGAAAAGGACCAGGAGCCAGAGATATGGGTCTCTAGTAGCTGAAAAAGGCAAGGAAACAAACTCACTACTTTGATTTCACGTCACTGAGGGTTGTTTTTGGTTTTTTTTCCACATGGAAGAACTGGGGTGTAGGCCAGAGGTGTGAGGGGTGGTGGGCAGTGTGAGGATTCCCCAGACATCTACTGGGGAGTAGAACAGGCAGATTTACTGAAATACACTACTCAGGGGAGTGGAAGTCTGCTGTGCCACACCTGGGTCAGGCCCAGGGCCTGCAGTACAACTCAGGCAATAGCAGTGATACAGCTGAGAATTATGCCTAAACCACTAGGGAGGACCTCACTGAGATTCTACAATATATAAGATTATAACTTGTTTTAAACCACTAAGTTTGTGATAATAATGTCCTGATTATAGCTATATACATTTTAAAATTGTAAAAACTACAAAGATTACACATAATTCTTCATAATTCTGGCCTCATGGCATTTGAAATTTGAAATTAATCTAATTTTAATCATAGCAATTTATCTAAAAAAAAAAACTTTGGGTCAACCCTCCATGGTGGCGCAACAGGTTAGGATGAGCACTGCAAAGTAGCTGCAGCCATTTCAATGCAAGTTCGATCCCTGCCCCAGAGGTGACCCACAAGGAATGGCAGACTCCTCTGACCTGCCTACTGCTCCCCTCAGCAGTGTACTTGGTCATCTGCCTGTTCTGCTCCCCACTCTGTTTCTAGTGAAGACACTCACCATCCCCGCATCTCTGGCTTGTACCCAGTTCTGTATGCATAAATAAAACTTTGGAAAATAATAGGTGTCTATCTGATTTTTTTTAAGATTTATTTATTTACTCATACAGAACTGGGGTACAGGCCAGAGATGCGGAGGGTGAGAGAATTCACCGGGGACAGAGTGGGGAGCAGAACAGGCAGATCTACGAAGCACACTGCTGAGGGGAGCAGCAGGCGGGTCAGGAGAGGTCTGCCAGCAGCCGGCAGGTCAGGAGAGGTCTCCCGCGCCCTGTGGTCACCTCCGGGGCAGGCGGGGATCGAACTCATGCGGAAGCAGCTGAAGCTTCTTGGTGCTGTGCTTTAACCGGCTGCGCCACCAGGGAGGGCCGGTGTCTATCTGATTTTAACAGCAGAAAATAATTTCAAGGACTAGACTTACTGCTGTATATTATTGCTTTGATAATAATTCTATTTCAAGAAGTTTGCATCCATTATGTGTGAATATAAGATTGAGGGGCAATACTGCCTGGTGGTGCAGCGGGTTAAAGCACTGCAGTAAGAGGCTAAAGCCACCTCCCTCATGAGTTTGATCCCTGCCTGCTCCAGGTGACCCACATGGCTCGGCAGACCTCTTCTGACCTGCCTGCTGCTCCCCTCAGCAATGTACTTCGTCGATCTGCCTGTTCTGCTCCCCATTCTGTCTCTGGTGAATCCTCTCACCCTCCACATCTCTGGCCTGTACCCCAGTTCTGTATGAATAAAAAAAAAAAAGATTGAGGGGCAATATAGTTCATAGTGGCATCACTTCATGAATTGTAAATACCTCAAAAATATTTTTAATTGCAATTCTTGCTTCTTCACAGATGTGTCAAAACTGAGCTGATTTTAACATTCACATTTTGTTAAGAAACAGAATTTGAGAAGCAAATTTTTTTACTTGGTAGAACTCAAGATTTCAACCAAGGTCTTTGGTACTGTCTGTGCAAAGATTTCTAGAATTTAAAAAACATTTATCCAAAGGTTTCTAGGAAGAATTTAAAAACCACATGTGTAGGTATCGGAACACTTTAGGCGGTGCATCTACACACACTATACCACACCTATCACCATAGACTACATTTCTTTTATCCTAACCCACCTTCCACTTTAGTCCCCAATCGGCACAAAGGAGTCTTGTTAGAGTAGGTGTCCTACAGACCTGTGTGTTCTCCAACATCCCCACCACCTAGTATAACTAGCCAAGAATGGGATGCCAAACAGTGACACAGACATACTTCTACATGCAGTTTTGGAAATGGTTTAAAGTATAAGTTCTAGCAGTGGGATCAAAGAAAAGCTGGTGGTACAACTGCTTCTGTGGGTGAAGACCACTGCAAAGCAATTGACATTAAAATGAGCCAAGAAATAAACCCAGTAAGCATAGTACTGTCCTGCTCCCTGTAAGATAAAACATAGCACAGTACTTCCACAGTAATTGTTACAAAACTCTTCAGCTGACAAGGGAAGTGGCTCTGAAAAGAGCCTTTGGGTTATCTATTAAATCAAGGAACCGGCTCACTTGGAGCTGGTGTACTTGGTGACGGCCTTGGTGCCCTCGGACACGGCGTGCTTGGCCAGCTCGCCGGGCAGCAGCAGGCGCACGGCCGTCTGGATCTCCCGCGACGTGATGGTCGAGCGCTTGTTGTAGTGCGCCAGGCGCGACGCCTCGCCCGCGATGCGCTCGAAGATGTCGTTGACGAACGAGTTCATGATGCCCATGGCCTTGGACGAGATGCCCGTGTCGGGGTGCACCTGCTTCAGCACCTTGTACACGTACACCGAGTAGCTCTCCTTGCGGCTGCGCTTGCGCTTCTTGCCGTCCTTCTTCTGCGCCTTGGTCACCGCCTTCTTGGAGCCCTTCTTCGGGGCGGGCGCGGACTTGGCCGGCTCAGGCATACCGAAAATAAACAACAAAGGCGACCAGCAACAAAAGCGACTTTCAAAACTGTACTTCTACGTTTACAGAGTCGCCTTTTATAGGCCATGTATGCAAATGAGGTATGTGAGTATATGCAGTCCTGATTTGATAATACATTTGTGACGGTGATATGTAAATTGCATTGCATCACGTCTCGTTTCTGATTGGTTGGCGAGTCAAAAGATGATTTCAACCAATCCCACCTCTTGTTTTACACGTCCCCCCAGCACTATAACTGGCATCTTACTGCTCCTTCTCGACCATTTCTTTTTTGATTTTTTCCTAACTGCTTGTGTTTTGGTAATACCATGTCTGGACGCGGCAAGCAGGGCGGCAAGGCTCGCGCCAAGGCCAAGACTCGCTCCTCCCGGGCCGGGCTGCAGTTTCCCGTGGGCCGAGTCCACCGCCTGCTCCGCAAGGGCAACTACTCGGAGCGGGTGGGCGCGGGTGCCCCGGTGTACCTGGCGGCCGTGCTGGAGTACCTGACGGCCGAGATCCTGGAGCTGGCGGGCAACGCGGCCCGCGACAACAAGAAGACGCGCATCATCCCGCGCCACCTGCAGCTGGCCATCCGCAACGACGAGGAGCTCAACAAGCTGCTGGGCCGCGTGACCATCGCGCAGGGCGGCGTCCTGCCCAACATCCAGGCCGTGCTGCTGCCCAAGAAGACCGAGAGCCATCACAAGGCCAAGGGCAAGTAAAACTGCAAACTTAAAAAAAAAGTCCCTTCCGGAAATCAAAGGCTCTTTTAAGAGCCACCCACTTTTTCTCTAGAAGTGCTGAAATACTCGTGGCACGGCTGGTGTAGCTGACAGTTTTGAGTCTCCTATCGAAGAGTAACGTTTATAAAACAAAAATTAGTGGATTTGGCGTAAGGTGGTTTTAAGTATGTACTCGTTTTCCTCACAATCTTAGGAAATCTCAGGAGACTTATGCACTTCTGTGCAAGTCTAGTTATGCGCACACACAAACAGGTGTAAAACAGTGAAGAACAAATTGGAGCTGTATTTTTATGGTTTCAGTGTCGTGCTTTGTTGGTGGACTGGTACTTAAACCCAAATGTACATAAGTTGTGTATTTGCTGTTAAAGTGAAATTATGAATAAAAGAACAATCGGGAAAGCTAACTGGCCCACCTCAGCGGGCTTTTCAAATTTTACCTGAGACAGTCTTGATTTCAGGACAATAGAAAGTACAGAGTGAAAGGGCTTCTAAGGACTACAGTTATAGTCAATGGCATCAAAGTCTAGGGACATCTCATGTGGTTTCCAATATGGGTAGGTCACACTCATTTCAAAATACACCACTTGGATATAAAAGTTACTTCAGACTGAAAGAAATTAAGCACCAATGACAGGAAAGCTTGCTTTTGTTCCCCTCCCTAATCTCTATCAATTTTATGCTAGAGACCACTGATGGCTCGGTCCAGAGTGGTATCAGGATTCTACAAAACTTAGTCCGTTTGTTTATACTTGCATACATACACTTAACCTTCCCACTTTTTGCCACCCTGAAGGCTTTCCTGTGTCTTGTTGCTCTCTTGACAATGGCAGATAAGCTGTAGTTCTAACTACCTCTACATTACTCCTTCCTACTTCTCTTCCTTGTAAATTGAAATTACATATTAAACGCTTATTTTGTCTTGCAAACTTCTTTTGTTACAGGGGTCCCAGCTGTGAACCCAGAATGATAAAGGGAAAATTTGTTTCCCTTGTTAAAAAAGGAAGACTGAAATAAAATAGCATATTTAGAGCACAGTTATATAACCTTTAGCTTATCTGTCCAACTAAAACAGAATTCTAATAAACCTAACTCAACTAAACATAATTTGTAATGGAAAAGAGTTATAAAATCATTAATACCTTACAACTTAACATGTAAATTCACAAATACTGGACCCTAACAAGTAGCCAAACAAAAGTAAATCCCTCAAAATAAGTATTAAGTACAGAGGCAGGTTTCTTAAACCAGGCTTTGATGTACCAGTGAAATTACAGTCCAATATTGTACCATAATTGAACAACTGCATATTTCTTAACAGGTTTCAAAGCTTCAGTCACCAGAGTTCTTCCCTTGTTATCAATGAGTCCATGCCTGATTAAAAAACAACAAAAAAAAACTTGCTTTCCTGGTTACTCTTTCTGTTGCCACATTCCCTCCTTCATATAATAATAATAATAATAAACCACTAAACTAAAAATTTAGGTCCAACTGCTAACACTGAATTTCAACCTCTATTCCCTTCTTATACTGTTAACTGACTTCATCTGCATCTTAGGAACTTAGAAAACTGTGTCACATGCTTGCTAAGTTTCTCTGTGTCCCCCTGTAATAATGGCAGTGGCATCTAAACGAAAATCTGCTGACTGCAGAGGAAACACCTTCTGAGATAGTCTAACTCCTGACTCCTGTCTCATAGACTGTCCAGCAATCCCCCCATTGGAAATGTAAAGCCCTGAGTTCCCTCACACTCCTTAGCCACATATAAAATGCTAGCATTCTCACCATTCCAGGAGTCAGTTCTTTGGAGGGTGCCTATCCTGTTAAGCCCCTCAGTCCCCATCAAGAGTAAAAGTCCATACAAAGACTATTCTCATGATTTAGAGTTCGAATTTCTAGGCTTGAGTGACAGATGTCATTTGGTTGTTTACATTTCCACCTTTTTGTATTGTGCTTACCAATGATTTCCTAGGCCTAAAGAAGGGGAAAGGATCACCATCACTTCTCCTAGAATGCTTACTTCAATCTGTTAGATGAGTTGCAAATACAAAATGTAAAGAAAGCAACAGAGCAAGCGCAGGCTGATTCTCAAAACAACCAGATTTTTTGGAAAGAGGAAAAAGGTCCTAGGTGAGGTTTGTTGGTCCTCAGAAAGGGCCAGCAAAGTCGTGCCCTGGTCATAGGTTAGGATATTTTATAGACAGGGGATGGAAAAGTACTGGGACTGACACTTTTCCTATAATGTGGAACTAAGTTTTTTTTTTTTTTTTTTTCAGCATCTCGGTGATCTATATCAAAATCACCATCTAGCGCTGCTCCTCATCCAGGTTCCAGGTACAGCAGAGGGTGCATCGTTCTGGAATTTGAGAGGTTGTGATATATTTCTTATATGGAAGGGCTTGGGGACTCCAGCTGGATGGAACACAATCTACTCAGGAACATGACATATATTTACCTTTCTGTTTCATAAGGGTAAAACCATGATTTAGGAAATACAGACAATATGTACTAAATAGCTTAACATATCAATAAGCGAAGTAAAAGGAAAGAGGCTAAGTGAGGTTCAAATAAAGTATTAGAATATTTATGAGTAACAAAAGAAATTTTAGTGATGATAAATTAGATTAAAACAAAATGAACTGGTGGCCAAGAAGTTATAAATCTTTGATGTTATTACTGCTTCATTCAACAAAACTCTCCTACCTCACTATAAAGATATATAAGAGATGGAGGATAAGGAAAGAAAAACTGGAAAGAAGCCACCACGAGATCAGAAACCTGGCTCACTTAATACCAGAACCTGGAGGTGGGGGCTAGCGGGATTAACATAGCAATTAACCCAGGTCACAAAGGTCCTTAGGTGCCAATGTCTAGATCACAAAGCACAAGACCCAAACAGGTATCAGACTGTTGTAGTGAGTGTCAGGAAAAGACATGAAAGTGAAGGTATACAGGTTGAGGGCCATTGTACAAAACTGGCCCTGGGAAATTATAGTTCATTCAAAGTCAACAATAAGACACTCCATGAAGGAATGAGCCCCTCCCAAAGAGAAAAGTATATCACAGCAATCTCCACAGTAACACTGGTCAGTAGTCCTTCTGCCCATGTGTGCCTCTTCAGGTGCTCCTTTTCCCAACTCTCCCTCAGTAACACTGGTCAGTAGTCCTTCTGCCCATGTGTGCCTCTTCAGGTGCTCCTTTTCCCAACTCTCCCTCAGCAGAGCAGCAGCCTCCTGCTTGACCAGACCTGTACCCTGCTGGGGCTTTTCTTTGCTGATCTCCCACAACAGAGGAGGCTCTCCTCAAGGCTGCAGGCCTGCAAATATGCAGGCCTCTCTCAGCAAACCTGTCCCTTTGAAGTTAGCTCTTATTGCCCAATCGTGTCTATGCAAATGTCCTTTGTTCTTCTCTTGCCTTTTAAAATAAACCTGCTCTTTTGAATATTGCCTCAGTATCATGGAGAAACTTGCTTGGGAACTCACCAGTGATGGGAGGGCTCTGGTGAAACCTACCCAGAATGAAACCAAGTGCCCCACTCTCTGAACCCAACATGTTGGCATCACAAGTATCCGCACTGTTTGATATGTTACATATACAGCAAAAAATGAGATGGTCAAAAACTACACTTTCCTGCAATCTTTGTGGCATTTAAACTTTTATGTTATTACACATTAACAAGTAACATAAACATAAGGAAAATTGCACCAGGCCAGGATGGGATTAAACCAGAGTAAGAGGCAATTGGAATTTGGGACAAAGGCCAAGGAGCATCTAATACATGAGCATGCGCAGACATAGCCATCTTAGAGCAATAAAGGCAGCCTAACAGGACAAGGACCGCCCAGGAAATTCGACCAATCACCGTTAGCAAAATTTTCACCAATCAGAATTGAACAAAATGAAACCCTTATTTGCATAGCGGACCTGAGTGTGAACTAGATCCGCCTTGTTACTTACCGGGGCCAACTTCAGACTCTTCCCCAAACTGCACTTCTAATGCCGTACAAATGTTTCCTATTACGCAGGAGTAAGTTCACCTTCTCGGGTTTCTTGGTTTTACGATCCCCGTTTGTCTTCCTTAGTTCCAAGGCTCATGTAATTTTTCTCACATTGAATCCTTCCTAGAGAAAAGCAGAATTTGGTATGTAAATTTCTATGAAACATCATGGCATAACCCCTTGATAGTCTCAATTTCCTCAGTCTTCATCTAGACGCCAGTGTAATTGAACATACTTGAAAGAGTAAATGGGTGAAATTTAATGGTATTCATCCTTGATTGCTTTGAGTAATTGTTTAATTCCCTAAGCTACCTGATGTAACTTTTTTCAATTCAGGTTATTAACAATGTTTCTAGTTGGTCACCGGAGAGAATGACTAGGGTGCCTAGACATAATACTTGAAATTCTGCCTTATTCCAAACCACAGCAACTTTCATAAACCAAGAGATGTGAAAGGAAGAAAACATTAGGGAGCTACCTATAGGAAATGAAACCCATGTAGGTAGTTATTTGTAGTGGCACAACTAAAGGGTGGTGGGAAGGTGCGGTTATTTTACTAATGTACAATTTAGCTAAAATACCTGAATTACTTCAACATGTCAATAAAGACACGAACACAATATTTTGGATTCCCTAATCAGCCTCTATCTTCCAAGTTGGGTACATGTTTTATTCCGATACTAATTTGTATGTGAAATATGTTCATTGGCAAAGAAAATTCCAAATTGACACATCCCAAATTGTTAATGTTGGGAGTGACCAAGTGCGGAGATTTACTGAGGGACTAGAAAAGGGCAGTAAGAAATTAGGCCTTGCATCCAAGGTGACAAGGTGGTAATAAACTGGGTCTTGCATCCAATTAACAAGACCTTGCCTCTGGGATGGGACTAGATGAAGGTGCTAACAAACTGGGCCTTACATCAAGGGACATAGCAATAGTCACCCTTTTGGAATTTGAGTTTAGAATCTACATAAGAGACCCTTCCCCTCTATTGGGCTGGCAGTAGCTGCAGAGCCCACTCTAGGGGCTCTGTCTCAGCTGCTGTCCAGGAGCAATAAACTGCTTGCTCAGCCTTTCCTCTGCCTCCCGCCTTCCTTTCTTTCAGGCACAGAAGTTGGGACAAAACAGTTCACAACCCATGTTGTTCAAAAATACCTAAAATATGCAATAATTGAATAAAGGCTTTTAAATAAAATATATTACATTGAATACAAATCTTTTCCTCAACAGAATCTGTTACACTCCAAATGCTCAAAAGGGGTTCAGAAATACTTTTTCAGACAATGCAACCCTAGGAGGAGTTGAGATCTGGATGTGGTATCAGTGATGGCAATTAGTCATCTCTAAAACTATACAACATACAACATGTCCTTTCTGGAAGGAATTGAGAGGTGCAAACTGATAAAATATTAGAATGAGAGAAAAAATAGGGAGGAATCAATTGGTGGAATATGAAGATGGGAATTCTTAAGTAGCTGTCCTTAGTGTGTTGAAAACCTGACTTCAAATTCAAATTGATATTTTCAAAACATCTACTTATAACCAGAATAAAGATTTTTTAAACAATCTTTAGATTTTTTTCCCATTCTAAAGATTTTTTAAAAGTAGAAATGAGAGAGCAAGTCACCAAAAAGTCCCTGAACATCAGGAGGACATGATGTTTGAAGGACCCAAACAGGGAAGCATACTTCTCAGTAAGAAATACCTCAGAAATGTTAATTTCCTGTGACCCCATCCTTGAACATGACTTTACCATCACTATTTCATTTTGCTTTAAAGTGAACAAAAATGATTCTAGAGAGAAACCAGAGCAGATAAACCTTTTAGATGTAAGACAACGAACATGTTTATAAGTATATGTAACAATACTAATCATTCAAATATGACTGACAGATGTTAGCTTGACACACTTATTAAAATCTCTAGTAATTCGAAAAGAACATTTACTGTGTCCACTTGCAAACACTAAAAAAAGGTTTTTTATCTACTGCCAGCTACTCCTCCTTCCTACTCCCCACGACGCAGCATTCGTGGGCGAGGATAATGCAGTACGTAATAGTCCCTCCCACTTCCCAATTTGTAGTTCTCAAACAGGTCCGCAGACCAGTCTTAAATAAGAATTTCGCTCCGTTTCTGACGGCGAACTGCTAGCACTCTCTTTTGTGTGTGTGTGTCAGCATGTCTGGTCGCGGCAAAGGCGGGAAGGGTCTGGGCAAAGGCGGCGCCAAGCGCCACCGCAAGGTGCTGCGCGACAACATCCAGGGCATCACCAAGCCCGCCATCCGCCGCCTGGCCCGGCGCGGCGGCGTCAAGCGCATCTCGGGGCTCATCTACGAGGAGACGCGCGGGGTGCTCAAGGTCTTCCTGGAGAACGTGATCCGCGACGCCGTCACCTACACCGAGCACGCCAAGCGCAAGACCGTCACGGCCATGGACGTGGTCTACGCGCTCAAGCGCCAGGGACGCACGCTCTACGGCTTCGGCGGCTAAATTAAGTGCCCAAATTGGACTGATTTAAGCATTTAAAGGCCCTTTTTAGGGCCACTTACCTGCTCATGAAAGAGTTAGTGACCTTGTCTTCTGATTTGTCTATCGGAAAAGCAAACTGTTTTATGCACTCAGTTGCATTACTGCTATGTCAAAATGTACATCGTAGTGGTTAATTGAAATTGCCATTAATCTGAAGTAGCTGTCTTTTGTTAAATCTTAAAATCTTGTAAGCTAGCATCCCAATAAAAACCGGAGCTACTCATTATATAAGTAAGGTTCAAATGTTTGAAGGATAAAGTCTATGAAGTGTCTAGTATGAGGCTACTTAACAGTTCAATAAAGCTCGGTTGAACTGAAGAGAGTTGGGAGCACCTATAAGCTGTTTTCTCCCTGTGAACTCCTATAGTAGCTCACCTGTTAAATATCTATTCAAACTACATAAACAAGATTCTCACCGTAAACACTTTATAATATTAATAATTAAAGGAAACAACTAATTACTTTTTAAAGCTTTTTAGTTGAGTCTCAATTGCTACTCTAGAGAGAAGTAGGCAGCCTAGTCCTGTGCAAGGAGTCAGACTTAGGGTTTTTTTTTTTTTCATATGTCAGTACATCCAACAGGAGAAAACTCTCCAAGTATGTAACGGTAAGCAGTCTTCTGTGGTCTTTATTTTAAAGATTGTTTATGCACAAGAACCAGGGTACAGGCCAAAGGTGTAGGGAGTGTGCGACTCCACCAGAGACAGTGGAAAACAACAGGCAGATATTGTTTCGTATTCAAGAAAAAGTCCCTCAGCAGTAAATAGGCTATTTTAAACATTCCCCCCCCCCCCTTCTAACCTCTGATCACAGCTTTAAAATACCCAACCAGCTACTTAAAGTAGTGTCTGAGGGAAGGGGAGAGGAGTATTTTGTTAACATTGTTTTGGGTTTTAGATATCTTCTGATTATCCTAATGGGTCCGGGATTTCCCCTCTGTGTTTCAGTCTGATGACGGTTCTACCCGTTAAATATGGAATTGACCTGACTTCTAACTAACATGTAGAGCACCGTAAAGGTGACAACGTAGCTTTGTGTATATGATTGTTACTTAACATGTCTTCCATGAATACCTTGAATGCTGGTTTTAATGCCCAGTACCCGTGTTGTCAGTCACAAAAGAGAAGAAACTGACTGGGCTCTTTAGGAACTGAGGGGGCACTCCAACCTACAAGGGATTCCCGTCAACAGCAAGAAAATATGACCCTCAATCCTGAAATCATACACAAAAACAATTCAGCTGATTAAGTTGAGTATGGAAATTTAACCTCCCCAAGTCAATCATATAAGAGACTTCAAATAATTTGAATAACAATCTGAGAGAGAAACCAGATAAGCAAATTGTCAGGCCCACAGAAACAACAAAACTGTGATTTGCTTCCTAGCCCTTTGGCTAAGATCAAGTGAAGAATAAATACATGTGTTGCCTGAAGGTAATTTGAGGTGACCTGTTATATACTAGTGGATAACTGGCACACTTACCTAACACATTTGGCATTTTTCAACAATCCATGCCCCGTCGAAAATAACATAAGGTGAAAATGGAGCCTTTAACTACCAGGAGACTTAGATTTAAAAGCAAACCTCATATATGAGCTCATTCAAACTTGTAAGAGTCCTTACTGTTTCTCACAATAATTTACAATATTTCCTACATAGACTCTTGTTTCCAGTTTCTTTACTGCAATAATAACAGACGTTCAAATAAAAGCTTTCTTGCACCTTAAAAGTTGCTTTTAAAATATAAAAAGCAATTCTAATAAAACCAGTAAGTAAAACTCTTGTATTAAAGCTCATCTAAAATTAGGAGAGAAGAGGATGTAGAAAGTTTTTAATTGCAGCGAGTGTACTCGGTACCATCAGGAATCCCCATTTAACAGTTCTCCAGCTAAAGCAGGGTCAGATCTACCTTACTATAACAGATGGTAGCATCAGAGATATTTACTATGATATATATGCCAAAATAACAAGTCTTGCTAACAATGCACTTTATCATTTCCCATTTGTAACTGAGTGGCTCCTTTTTTTGAAACACTTTTTGGTAAATGTGCAGGATTTGGTAGAATAAGGCATGCAGAAAAAGTAATAACAATACGATTCTAAAGACTTTGGAAAGAAAGGATGGAAATGGAAACACAAGTCTATGCAAATAAGGACTCAGGAATCTAAGCTGTGATAGGACGAAAATTGACCAGTAGAAAGATAGTATGTAAATTAGGACTTCAAAAAGTGCTTTTTTAATTGGATGAAAATGAACACTTTCATGGACTCCTATAGGTTGCTTTAAGTCACCGTCATTGGTATACAAAGAGGAACACCTAGATGGTCATAAAGTGAAGAAATTAGTCACCTAACCCTCTTACTTACTGTTTTCTAGATTCCCTGTTGCATGCATTATCTTGAGAGTTCTTTACTTAGGTCCGGCTGACATCTTAACACATTAAACAGAACCAACACAGCAGATCTCCTGAGACAGGAAACTCAGGACTCCTGGGACTATGCAGGTGTTTCACAAAATGTCCCAGGGAGACATTTTGCAAAACAGCTTTTTCTACCTGTATGTGTCTGCAAGCCGCTTCTTTAATTTTTTATATAATAGGGCTGCCATTTAGATTAAAAGTAGAACAAAAAAGTCAGATGACAACTCACCCTGAGTTAAAAATCAGGAAACAGAAATCCTGCAGCGAGAAATCAGAAATACAAAATACGTATACTGAACCTGAAAAGTCCGCTCTACAACGAAGTAGGTACTTACTATAAACACAGACTAAGAACCATTAGATACATAGATACCTTAAAGGAGTGCTTAAAGGAAATAAAAAAAAAAGTTCTATCCAGATCAAAATGGGTTAACAATGCAGAAAATGGCGAGTATTTTCCTGCAGGTTCTAAAGCAGTGTCTTTTTCAATGCATTGCATTTTGCATTACACACAGGAGGAAAAAGTCAAGAATATGAAGTCACTAATGTGTCTATACACACTGCTCCTGTGTGTGAAGTATTATCAATGAAACGGTTTAGAGAATTTTCTTTTTCTTTTTTTTTTTTTTTTTTGGAGCGGACGGGAAAATGGCTGCTGATTAAAACTGACCAATCAGAAACAAGCAGCAAACTCCCCGCGCACTTCCGGAATTTGGCAATTGATGACTAACAGGGGTCGCCCACAATCCAATCAGAGTGACCCTGGTCCTGTATAAATACAGGGTGCAAGCAAGTTACAGCAGTCCGCTCAGTTTCAAGTGTAGCTATGGCGCGTACTAAGCAGACGGCTCGCAAGTCCACCGGCGGCAAGGCGCCCCGCAAGCAGCTGGCCACCAAGGCGGCCCGCAAGAGCGCGCCGGCCACGGGCGGCGTGAAGAAGCCGCACCGCTACCGGCCGGGCACCGTGGCGCTGCGCGAGATCCGGCGCTACCAGAAGTCCACCGAGCTGCTGATCCGCAAGCTGCCGTTCCAGCGGCTGGTGCGCGAGATCGCGCAGGACTTCAAGACCGACCTGCGCTTCCAGAGCTCGGCCGTGATGGCGCTGCAGGAGGCGTGCGAGGCCTACCTGGTGGGGCTGTTCGAGGACACCAACCTGTGCGCCATCCACGCCAAGCGCGTCACCATCATGCCCAAGGACATCCAGCTGGCGCGCCGCATCCGCGGGGAGCGGGCGTAAATGTTGTCTTCGGTTGAGTGCTCCTAAACCGTGAACCCAAAGGCTCTTTTCAGAGCCAACTACTTACTCTACAAAGGGTCCTGTAATGCTTAACAGCTAAGACTGTTTTCTAGTTGATTAACACGTAGTGGCGCCTGAAGGGCATCTCTGCGCCAAGTGCTCAGCCGTAGCGCTGGAAACTACCTCCGCACTTTCACTTTGCACGCATTTTCTGCACGAAACACTGAAGCAAACACATCAGTGGGTTTTTTCCCTTAGTGCTGTACAGTGCCTCTTGCACTAAGTTTGCTTTTAGCTTTTTTGTGGTTTTTTAGGTTATTCCTGCCTCACAATTGTATAACTGCTGTTCCCAATCGTTGGTTGCTTTTACTTGAATGCGTTTGACCCCACCAGCATTTTCTGTACCTTTTCTCTAAAGCCCCATTTAGTCTCAAGCCTCTGAGTGGCCAAAACCTTCTGCACCCTGGCAGTCTTGAAGATAAGCTTTTAGTGGACACCCTTATGCCGATAGGGCTCCAAACATTAGGTTACCACTTCATAAAGGCTCTACAAAGGCTCACTTCGGAGAGGAAGTTTTAGGAGTCATCTGTAAACACCCACCATAAATTCCACTTTACCTATACTATCTCGTGTAAATTAAGCTGCATGAAATTACCTATTTCTCAGTAAAATGTATGAAGTACATTTCAGGGGTTCTACCAGAAATAATCTGACCCCACATCTTTACAAAAGAAAATGAGTGCCTGTTCCATATTAAATAGGAACTCCCCATGAAACAGGTTCTAACTTGTACTGTTTGCTGAGGAAAGAAATAAGATGCTTTAAAATCATAACCGGCTATTTGTAAACAGGAAAGTGCTTACTACTTGGAAGCAACCAGTTTACGTTTTTTTGGGGGGGAGGGGTTGTTTTGTTTTGTTTTGTTTTGTTAAGAATATTAAGAGTATGAGACAGCAAATTATAGTTTTCTGATGGGCTATGCTAGCAGCTAGCCTAACTACAGAATTATGAGACTTCTAATTTTGTTTTCAAATGCTGTTTTCCCTCAAGGATCACTATGCAAGGAGGATAATTGGGTGGTAAATTTAAAAGGGATAAAGCTGTAAATATAAGCATAATTATCTACAGATAAGTCTTGGAGGTTTTCAGAAATTTTTTTGTTCTTTTAAGTCTCTCAGACATTAATGCTTGGTGCTGAAAACTGAGTCTGGGTCCATGTGGACAAAAGTTTAGTTATCCATATTGAAACTAACTGTATTCTTGGGTAATTGTAATGGTGCATAAAGAAGGCAATCTTTATGTGACTTCCCATTTCCTGTACCTTGAGGTTCTAGCAAAATAAAGTGTGTTAAATCTGTTTCCATTCACTAGATGTTAAACAGACAGATGTTAAGCAAACATACTTGGCACCAAAAACATGTCTTTAAACCCACCAGTGACATCTAGAATGGTTCTTTGCCTAAACACACACAGTAAATTAATCAAATTGAAATGTAAAAATTACCAAGCAGAAATTAACACTTAATTCATTTCTGGCAACAGGAATATTGATAGTTAACATTTATTTCAGTATATTAAGTCCGATATATCGTTTTCTTAAGTAAAAATAATCAACATGTATTGAGTTATAATGTGCTAGAAGTTTCACATATATTCTTCCATGAGGCCCAACATACAAGATAAATTCAATAAATACAGGCATCTATTATATACAATAATTACTCCATTTATACTTTATAGATAAGGAAACTGAAAGTTTTAGATAATAAATGATAAGGTCAAGCAAGACTGGGCATTACTATTTTAAAAATCAGTATAATCAATATCAACAACCCCTGAGGAATTTCCATATTTCATGGAGAAGCTGTCATAGGAAAAATGGTTATCTTATTATTTTGTCTATTTTAAAGGAAATGAATGGGTTTTGAAATTTTACAAGTCCTAATTGAGTGAAGTTCTAATGGCACTATAAATAACAACTCATTGCATAGAAATATAAACAGTGGGAATCAATAAAAATGTAACATTTACAAATGACATTAAGTCTCTGCCCACCAGCCACAATGATTTTGATGGTACAACTAAACAGTTTTATTTTAAAAGGCATATATTGAACAGTGATTATTACCTGATGTAATTCATATGAACTATTGAAAGAGGATCACCAATCTGACTTGTTACATTTTATATGTACCTGTTAGACCATTAAATTGTATGTCTTTTTCAGGCTTACATGACTTAAGTACCTACAATTATTTAAGGAATAACCCTAGAGTCTCTGACCAGTGCTTTATCTTATGGGCATGACAGCTAAAAATCCATTCACTAATTCCAATTCATTCTTTTTTCGATCTCCATCACTGCATCTGTCCACAGGAAAATATGGATATTTCATGTCTGGAGACTTTTATTGCAAAAGTTCTATGCATCTTTAATTTTGTTTTTACAGTAAGCCTAAGACCTTGCAGACATACTTCTGAAAGCAATGGACATCGTGCATAAGTCAAGTCATGGGCGAGATTCAACATGGCAGGAAAATATATTACCCTTGGCTTCCTACACAGAAAAAAAAGAAAAAGAAAAATGAAGTTAACTGAAATTGTAGAGCTGATAGCATCTTAAGAATCAGTTTCAGGGCCCTCTCTGCTGGCCCAATGGTTTAAGGCAAGCACTGTGAAGCTCTCATAGCCACTGCAGTGTGAGTTCTATCCCAGGCCAGGGGGTAACCCACATGGTGTGGCAGACCTCTTCTGATCTGCCAGCTGCTCCCCTCAGCAGTGTATTTTAGTCAATCTGCCTGTTCTTCTCCCCATTCTGTCTCTAGTAAATCCTCTCACCTGCTGCACATCAGGCCTGTACCCCAGTTCCGTCTGCATAAATAAATAAAATCTTTTAAAAAATTAAGTGTCAATTTAAAAAAATACACGTGGAATATCTCACTGAAGAGTTGTAAGATAATAGGTACAATGTCAGAGACTCTTTGCCCCGGATCATGATTATTGGAGGGCAGAACAGGCAGGGTCTCAAGGGGGGTGGGGCGTGCGTGTCGGTGAGCAGAAATTCCTGGAAAAGGGGGAAAAGGGAGAAAAAAGGGGAGCGGGCACAAGAAAGACACGGGAATAGAAGGTGGTGCAAGTCCTGCTCTGCTTTCAGCAGAGGTTTATTATATACACTTCAAGCAGGCAGAGGGATGCCATTAGCATATGAAATGGGCTGAGATCACAATCACCTTTTTTCTAAGAGTAGTCTGGGGTCGTTTTGATCTTTAGTTGAGATTATAACACTTTTAAAATTAATCTATCAAGGTCAAATCAGGTACATAGATTCACAAAGTTTAGGAATAATATTACTATATTTACCACAGTGAAGATTAACCAAAATAAAGTCGCTTAAACCTTATCTACTACTTAACTGCTCCCGGCTTTTACTTTCATTGAGCCATCCTAGGGGGTAAAGTAAAGTGAGGGCAGGAAGAGGAAATTTCTTGTAAATCAAATTGCAGTAAAGTTCTTTGAAAACTTGTTAGAAAGTTTAAGTGAATTTTCTTGAAGTTTAGAAAACCTGATTAGCACTGAATAGGCGACTTAGGTAAATTTCCATATCTAAAGACAAGAGAGTAGAAAGTTTGAGTGGTTATTTAGAAACTGAATAGAAGGCTACTTGAGATAGTAGAGTGATGAGATTTGGGTTTTCCTCCCTTCCGGCAGTAAAAGTATGTTTTAATATTGCCTCAGTATTGACTTTACAATAACAGCCAATTGCTTTTATTAATCAGCCAGTTGTCAATCACTTTTGACTTCAAGAAATCACTTTTGATATCAAGAGGAATTACTCACCCTGGTGCAGTATTTGCTTGCCTGGGCCTGGCAGCGCCTTATGCAGCTGAGGCAATCCAATTGAAAACTGAAGGTTGCTCAGAATATTTTGATATCACAATTATAAAAAAAAAAAAGTAGGTCATAACATAACTTAGCGTGGAAAGTCTGATTTTTCAGAGCACTTCACCTCCATCTGTACCATGTCTGTCGACAGAGTTTGCATAGCTTGTGTCAGTATGAGATATCATACTAAATTAGTGGAAAAACAATAAAAAGTACTATCCTAGGGTTTAGTTTCATTTAATGAGTGAATACATATCTAATAATTTTTTGTTGATAACAGCATTCAATTAAGAAATGACATTAAAACACATTATCAGAGAAACCAGCTTTAAAATAAGGGAAATGTATTCATGCAGATGCCACTTGAGATGGAAAGACTTCTCACAGGCAGAGAGAAGGGGAAATTACAGGGTAACAATGGTGACCTCAATCCAAGAAAAACAATTCTTTTATTTAGCAACAGGGAGATTTGGGTTGTTATTAGTGTTAGTTATTGTGAGAAGAAAGTACTACTGTGAATAAAGGCTACAAAGTTCTCACTTAGTGACTTGAGAGACTGATCCCTTTCATGAAGCATATTACAGAATTTAGGGTTGGAGCCTGCCTGGAGAAATGAGTTAGGACAGTTTGGCGAGCAATGGGATTTAAAATATGAGAGAATCTGACAAAGAAGAAAAAATCATGTCTAACCCAGAATTTTTTTCATTACCTGATTTACTGAATAACTGGAATAACCAAGGTCTCCACAGTGACAGGAACTCAATCTGCTGCCTCCAGGAGTCAAGCAGACTAAGTAGAAAGTAGTGACTTCTGGTTGGTCCTAACGTTTACTTTTGGTGGATCAGTGAAGCACAGGCCTGCCTCCACCAGAAAGTTCTGATGGGCTTTTTCCAAGATACTCTGTGCAGGTTTTTTCCATCACATATCGCCTTCCATAGCATGTGGAGCTAAAGACAACAGAGATCCTGTGGGCCACTGAGGAAATATTACCCAATGTCATTGTTTAAGCAATAGTAAGTCTGATGATCTGTTATACGTTAAATGACCCTAAATATGTTAGGGCAATATCCAGGAAAACCTCTGTGTCTGACAAACCTATCTTAGCCAAAAAATTCTAAGGGAAAAACATCCAGAAGCAAAATTTTGTCACAGATAGCCTCCTCCTCTTTACAAGACTTCTTCCTCACTCCCAGGCTTCTTCCTTCATCCCACTCCTTGGCTTAGGAAATAAATGTTCAATTCATACTATTTAGTCCAGAATGTAGTCATATTTATGTAAGTAAATTTTGTTGTCTTCACCTACAAAACTGATGCTAGTTTATACAACTAGTCCAAGAAAAAACCCAAGGAAGGGGGGAATTTTCCCGTGTACCCTGACAATCAATGGCCATATGCATAAGTACCTCCTCTAATACAGAAAATAAGAACATGCCTGGCAACCATCTAGGCTAAGATGTGGGCTTTTTACTTCCTCGTTTTGATTGTTTTAGGAGGACCCCATCTGCCTGGTACTTACCATCTTTACAAATAAACCTGTTCAGTTTTTCAAAATCTGAGGGGTTTTGCCACTATAGTCAACAGAATGTCTTTGTCTCTTCCACATGTCTACACATCTCTCTTGCATGTCTCCTTCCATGAACCCAAGTCCCTGACACAAGTCCAAAGCTGAGAAATAAGCAGCCCCTTCTTCTCCACATATCTGTCTCTCTTCTGTGTGACTGTCCAAATGTTCTCTCCTCATGTCTCCTCCATATAAGAGCTATGTAGACTACAGTGATACAAAAACACTGATTCAAAATGACACCTGCACCCCCATGTTTATTGCTGCTTTATTTACAATGGGAAAGACATGGAAACAACCCAAATGCTGAAAAGTAGATGACTGGATTAAAAAGATGTGGTACAGGGCCCTCCCTGGTGGCGCAGTGGGTTAAAGCACAGCACTGAGAATCTAAAGCCGCTTCCGCATGAATTCAATTCCCGCCTGCCCCAGAGGTGACCACATGGCGTGGCAGACCTCTCCTGACCCGCCCGCTGCTCCCCTCAGCAGTGTACTTTGTTGATCTGCCTGTTCTGCTCCCCACTCTGTCTCTGGTGAAGCCTCTCGCCGCCCCTGAGCCTCTGGCCTGTACCCCAGTTCTGTATGCACAAATAAATAAATCTTAAAAAAAAAAAAAAAAGATGTGGTACATATATACAATGGAATATTACTCAGCAGTCAAAAAAATAAACACATGCCTTTTGCAGCAACATGGATGAGCTGGAAGGGATCGTGCTTAGTGTAATAAGCCAGAAAGAAAAGGAAAAATACCAGATGGTTTCACTCACAGCAGGAGCATACAGGACCTGGGGAGATAATGATAATTATAATGAACAACTATATACCAGAGACATTTTACGGGGGTGGAGTGGGGAATGGGATCAAAAATGGGGAGGGGGGAAGTCCACTGGACTATGGTGATGCACATGGGTGATCTGGTGATGGGAAGCCCACGGGGATTATAACTGAGAAGGGAAAAGGCACAAAATGATGTAAAAATAAACTATTATGTTATTAAAAATAATAAAAAGAAAAAAGAAAGTAACTACAGTGATAGAGTAATTCTGACCACTCTCAGAGTCATTTTCACCAACTGATTCTTAAATTTCTCCTCACTCATCAAAAAATTGAAATCACTGAGTATTAAAGACCTTGGGTCTCTTCCCCATTATTTTCCTCTGGATACAAACTCTTATTTTTCCGAAAATTATTTTGAATAACTATTAAATACTTTAAATCTAAACCCATTTATCCAGATTGCACCAACCAAGCTATCCTGAGGTTGCTATCTCAAAAAGGACCTGACAGAATTTTTTCCAGGATGTCAAGATAAATCCTTTTCTATTACCTGTCACCTTAGCAGGCAGAACTAAGTCAATCAAGGCTATGTGGGCCTCAGGGAAAACTTACTATTTATAAAAGAATGAAGATTACCCAGATTTAGGTATCTCAGAAAAACCTATCTTAACAAAGAAAACATCTAAAGGAAAGATTTTGTCAAAGGAAGTGTTCCCCTCCCACCTGGCAGGCACCCCACCCCGTGTCATGTGAGGTCCCTCTCTCCTCCACATACTAGAACCCTGAAAATAGACATAAGTCTCCAGTTTGTCCCATTATTTTGGGTGTTACTACATGTAAATTCTCCATACATGTTACACACTGGGTCTTTTTCTCCTTCCTACTACTAATGTATCTGATATTTGTTCAGTCTCAAAAGAACTCCAGGGGTGGGAGAAGTTTGTCTTGTGCCTAAAAACCATTCTCCTAGAAGGGTTTTGGCTCTATCTAGAAAGAAGAAATTATGGAATATAACTATGCATGGGAAAAATGATAGATAACTTTAGAAGAGTAGTAAATACATTCATAGCCTACAACTTTTTTTTTAAGGAAACTTAAATTTTTAAATGCAATAAGCTATTAACCAAATGGGGAGTAGTGCTGTAAACACAAAAGTAAAGTGAAGGCAAAGTTCACTGATGAGGTATTCATGTTGTTCAGGGACTCGTGATTGGTTCTGTGCTGTGGACTCCAGACAACCTGGAGAAACTTGTAAACAACCTTAAAAAAAGTTTTAAAAAATTCTTACAGCGCACTCACCACAAAAATTAGTGCCATTAATATATCGTGAAAGTATTTTTTAAATATATAAAAACTTGTTCATTAACAACATCCAATAACAAGATTCAACTGCAGGTGAAATAATGAAAGTCAGTTTCAATGACTCACCAATGGAAATAGATTTCAAGCTACCAGTACAGTGATATGAATATATCTGATTGTCACTGATGAAAACAGTCACAGGTACTGTAAACTCCAGTTACCTAGACATATAACTGAAGGAAAATGCTAATTTGCAGTCCCTTTGTGAAAATAAAAATTAATTTCTCCCCGTCCAAGTTTATAGCCCCATAGTAATCTGAAATATACAGATATCCAGATATGCCGGTAAAATGTTGATTTCTCTGAAATCGAAACAGAAACAAAAACCTGTTTTGGGGGTGAAATGCAAAATGGTTAAAATCTAGAAAAAACTCTGGAGACCATTTATTTTTCCCTGACCAGAGATTTTTCTTAGAATTTCCCTTTCCGGATCTTTCTCTATACTTCACACATTAGGCAACCAACCCTGGATTTCAGGATACTCAAAAATTGGGAGCCAAGAAATCTAAGGGAGTGAATAAATTATAAATCACTTTTTTTTTTTTACTTTTTGCTACCTCCTAGCATCAGTGTGGTAGCTAAAATAATCAAGTTTAGGCAGAATCAAAGTAGCCCCCCAAAAGAGGTCTCCATTGATGTCATGGGCAAAATGTTTTCAACAGCTTCACAGTATACACAGGTTTGATGGCTCAATCCCTAGTTGGTGCTGTGTTTTCTTTCTGCGACCATGCAAATAACGCGGGGGATTTCTGATTGGCTAGAACTCAAGAGCCTCTGTAAAGCAACTGAAAGCAAATTTTACGAAACATCTAACGACTATAACAACCCCTTCCAGACGTGCCTGCCCTGGAAAATTGTACTGTCCCTGAACACTTCGGGGCGCCGGAATCAGGGAGGTAAAACCCGCCCCAAGGTCAAGACGTGCTCCCGTGGCGCAAGCGGGCAGTTCCCCAAGGGCCGGGTGCACCACCTGCTGCTCAAGGGCAACTTCGCCGAGCCGGTCGGGGCGGGCGCGCCCGTGTACCTGGCGGCCGTGCTGGAGTACCTGACGGCCGAGATCCTGGAGCTGGCGGGCAACGCGACCCGCGACAATAAGACGCGCATCATCCCGCGCCACCTGCAGCTGGCCATCCGCAACGACGAGCTCAACAGCTGCTGGGCCGCGTGACCATCGCGCAGAGCAGCGTCGGCCAACGTGAGGCCGAGCCAGGGAACTATGGGGGAAAGTGCAGACTCGGCCCAACCCTGCCCGCCCCAGGCCCTCTCCGAGCCGCCGAGGAGCTCCGGGGAGGAGCGCCTGTGCCCACGTGACCGAGCGCGCCCGGCCCCGAAAGCGCCGCGCGCCCGCGCGCCCCGTCTCGGCCCAGCCGGCCAATCACGACGGACGGCGGCAACACTCGCAGCAATTTAAAACACTGATTTAACTATTGCTTAGTAGTCGACTAAGAAATCAAAATACTTGGTTACGCTCTTTTGGCTGAAAGTGGTGGGTGGCTCTGAAAAGAGCCTTTGAGATTTTCCAAGCAGGACGTCCCGCTGCACCTTCTTACTTCCTCTTGGGCGCCGCCTTCTTGGCCTTTGTGGCTTTGGGCTTGGCCGACTTGGGCTTGGCGGCCTTGGGCTTAGGGGCTTTGGCCTTGGACGGGCTCTTGGTCGCCTTCTTCGGCTTGGCCGCCTTTACCTTCTTGGGGCTCTTGGCTACTTTCTTGGCCCCAGCAGCCGCCGCCGGCTTCTTGGCCTTCTTCGGGGTCTTCTTGGCACTCTTCTTCGGGGTGGCCGCTCCGGTGGCCTTCTTGGGCTTCTTAGCCGCCCCCGCGGGCTTCTTGGGCTTGGCCGCGCCCGCCTTCTTGGCCTTGGGCTTGGCGTCGCCGGAGGCCGCCTTCTTGTTGAGCTTGAAGGAGCCCGAGGCGCCGGTGCCCTTGGTCTGCACCAGGGTGCCCTTGCTCACCAGGCTCTTGAGGCCGAGCTTGATGCGGCTGTTGTTCTTCTCCACGTCGTAGCCCGCGGCCGCCAGCGCCTTCTTGAGCGCGGCCAGGGACACGCCGCTGCGCTCCTTGGAGGCGGCGACAGCCTTGGTGATGAGCTCGGACACCGGGGGCCCGGACGCCTTGCGCTTTCCCGCAGCTGCGCCCGTTTTCTTTGCCTTCTTCTTAACAGGTGTCTTCTCCGCAGGTGCGGGCGCAGCAGGAGCAACTGGAGCAGTCTCCGACATTTTTCTGCTTTGCCACGAAAGACAAAAAGTAAGGTTAAACTGTCAGAACGGCATGTCCCGGGCGCCGGTGACTGGGGGTTTATATAGAGAGTAGCTGAGTGATGATTGGTTGCCTGCTCCGTGCGCCGCGCTGCTGAGGAGAGCTGCTCGTCTCTGCTGCGTGGCTGTGTTTCTTTCCCCTTAAAAAAGAAGAAAAATATAAGAAACCTGGGCACGAAATAATTAGGGACTTGGGGGAAACGGATCTGAGAGTCTTCACGCTTCATTCCTGCCTCATTTGCTATCCCTAGTTTCAAAACCGACACCCTGAGACTTTCCAAATCCCCCCAACTCTCTTTCAAACTTCGGTCACATTGAGACAACTTTCAGATTTTCCTTAAAAATACTACTTCTCTTTGATTCTTATGCAAATATTTCTTGCGGGACTTTGTTCTGCACATTCTGATCTTTGAGACTTCATCTAAACTAACTCATGTTTAATCAAATATACGAGGAAAATCGGTTTTTTCGTGAGAGCAATAGCACAAACTCTCCTGCAAGTTGTTTGCACCAAGCCCTCGGAATTGGCACTGGGGTAGAAAAATCTTCGCACAAGATGGATAACTATTTCAGAAAAAATAGAATTTTTTTTAAGCATTTGAGTGACTGCTAGGTAAGCTGGGGTTGATCCCCGTGTTTTGGTGATTAAAACACTTGAAGAAGGATGGGGGCGGGGGCTGAGGCTGCACCATTCACTTTGCAAATAAACAACTCTAAACAGAGTCAGCAACCTTCTCTTAAAAATCAGTATAATCGATTTTTGAGACCTAGAATGGGTCTTAGAGATCAACTACTGCATCTAGAAAGAAAATAAAAGAAAAGTGAATCATGTGAAGCAAGTTACAATTCTACATTTTAACAGCCATAAGCTGAAGAATGCCACATCACCTACTTGTACCCCATCTTTCTTAAACTTCTGAATAAGTCAATAACAGACACCCTAATCCTACAATTGTTTCCTTTAAGTATATATTAGGTAAACTTTGGCATACATTTCCTATATTTAAAATGATGATTAAAATATACATGATTTCAATTTTTACAGCATACATTCTAAGTAGGAACATAAAGGATCATTGGAAAGAAAAAAATTCTCATTTGTATCTCTTTCTGAATTTTCATAATTCTCACTGATTTTTTAATGAACAAAATATACACTAGTCTGTCACATCCTTAATGAATGGGCTGAGAATGTTCCTCTAAGGATGTTGAACAAACATTTCACAGCAAACCTGATTGATTTTATTATTCCATCTCTCTCAGTTTGCAACATGAATGCTAATGGAATTTGATGACTACTGGATAATTCAACACTAAATCAATATTATCCACTAAAATAAATTTTTGATCCTCTGCTTCTTAACAATAACCCTATTTCCAAAATCGAGGTATCTGACTTCTATTCAATAGTGATTTGAGAATTTTCTTATATAATTCTAAGATAGGATAATCACCATTAAAATGTCATCGGTCTATACTTAATTAATGCAATAAATCAATTTAACTATTTTTAAATAGTCATTTATTGCCTAGCACTGACTGAAACCAAGACTCTGAGACTTGAGACCAGGTTATCTACCAAGTAAAAGTGCTATATATAAAGAAGTAAGCTTATAGACCTGGTCCTGCAGCCTTCTAATTCTCCTGGGTGGGCATTTTTGGAGTACCTGGAAGATGTTGCTACTTGTCACCCTCAATAGCACCATTGCCAACAGCAGTGGACACAAAAATTATACAGGTTATAGTCTTATCTAAACTTAAAGATATTAAAAGTCACACCTTCAAACGTTTACAGTTTTGGTCCCTGCTGATCCACATTATCCATTCTTGAAGAATTGTTGAAAACATATCCTTAGTTACAAATTTTCAATTTCAGCTATGTGAAAAGTTCTTCCTGTTGCATATGTCGTCATTTCCTCTATGCAATTCTTACCAGTTCTTTGGCTATTTGGGTTCCAACAACATTAAAAGACTTTGGGGTTAAATGCTATTTCCTTAATTCTTTTCAGGGGATCTCTGTCTTTCCTGAAGGGCAATTGCTGAGAATTAATTTTACCTTCAATGTTCCCCATAAGTTTATAGAAGGATGGAGCGCTACTTGCTGTGATCTTATCTTCTCTAACAGCTGCATGAACAACCTCTTGAATAATGGGCCACCGGTTCTAGTTAGTTCTGTGACAGATATCACATTACTGACTTTATGTTCTATCAAATGGGATATTAACCTCTCTATATCCATTATAAGTGACTGACATTTCGCAGTAGTTATTACCAGGCCAATCCACGGGGCTATACTTAACCATTCCAAAAAGCAGTGAATTTTCAGATATTTAAAAAGAAAAGTTTTTTTTTAAGTTGTGTAAATACTAAAAAAGAACCAAAAAAAATAAAGTCTATTTAGGACAAAGAAATGCTGTGCTTAGAAACTTGCACTGGATTGCTAGAAATGTTCTGAACCTGTCCTGAATCTCTAATCACATGAGCTTAACTGAATGAGGTGATGTGACTACAGTGACAGAAGAAACTGATTTTTTATTTTATTTCATTTTAATTTATTTAAATGTAGTTGACAGTGTTATTAATGATTATGTTGGACAACACAGTTTTAAACATGATTAACCACATGTTTTCATTACCTAGGAGAGGATCTCACCTGAAATCATATGAAACTCACCTTGAAAAACAAGTGTATCTTCTTTTACATCCTGTGGAAGAGGTGACTCCTCTCAAACTTCTGATTTCCTTTCACACATCTCTTTCTGCCTCTAATATCTGGTGTACCTGGAAGTTGTCTAATTCCTAATCCAAAAGACTACAATCCACTCTTTCTGCAGTAATGCTTATTCTCCTATATCCACCATCTCTTTTCCCTAGGCGACACTAGAAATCTTCAGAAGAATATCCATCATAGCAAACACTGTAGAAAGTACTATAATGATAGAAATGTTCTGAATCTGTACTGTCAAATAGAGAACCTCTATCCACATGTGATTACGGTGCGGTGAGATTAAATAGTGGCTTCAGTGAAGAAATAGATTTTTAATTCATTTTAATTAATTTAAATTGAGATGAAGTTGTGATTATTATGTAAGACAGAATAATTTTAAATTACTTCTCAAACTTGAATGAACATTCTACCTACTTGGAGATCTTGTTAAAAATAGATATTAAAAATAAAATATCAACTGTGTCTGGGATTGGGTCTGAATATCTCTCATGAGCCGGGGGAATCGAATATTGCTAAGTGGGATGTGGCTGCTCCACTCAACGAAATGAGGATAAAACTAAGGATATTTGGGGCTGATGTCTGACCCCATCACTCTCATTTTCACTTCCATGTTCTAGACTTCCACTTCTTTAAAAGAAGGTCTTTCTAACCCTGATATTTGTTCACCATTCTAAGCACAGAGTAGTCAGTAAATGGTTCAAGGCATGATCACTTTTACTTGATAACTTTTTTCAGAAAAGGAGCGCATGGGAAATGACTGTTTCTAAATTTGCAAGTAACTGGACATGAGCTAGATCCCAAATACTATCAGACTCAATGATGGTAAGTTCCAGAATAGATATTTTTAAAAATTACCCCTGTAAATATTGTAGACACTCAAACTGAAAGAGGAATATGAGTGAGCCAGTAGCATTGTCCAGTAAACATACCACATGTGTATAGAATACTTTGGTCATTTTAATTTCAGAATTAATCAGCATGGTGTTAATTCTTTCACTTCTGTTATTATTCAACATTATGTAATTTCGATTAAAACAGGAAGGTGATAAGTCTTGAGAGTCCAGAATCACAGTATCTTTTTTCTAACCCAACAATATCATTTATAAAACAGGAATATGTCACCAAGCCTAGGATTCATCTTTCCAAGGGAAAAAAAAAAAAGTGCTTTGTAACTCTGGAGTGGGAAATCAGTTAACATTGACTAACCTTCCTACTTTCCTTTACAATACTAGTATTGCTCATATTGCTAGAATTGTAAAAATTAATACTATTTTTTTAAGAATGTTCACAAATAAAAATCAATTTTATCCTAGGAACCCGTTCTTGTGTAGACAAGGGTAGTGTCATTGCTTTCCTTCCTATAAGTAATAAAAGTTAGGAAACTTCCAAGTATACATTATTTGGGAGAAGCAAAAGTCACAGCAGTGGAGAGCACAATTGTCCTTCAACAAAGATCCTGCCAGAGCCACGTTGCCCCGCCCTTCGCCTGCTAGGCAACAGCAGACGCCGGTCAGCTCTGCAGGAGGCGGGTCGCTAGCCTCTTTCCCGCCCCCGCCATTTCAGTCTTCTAAAAGGTCCGCAAATCTGATATATAAAGGGGCTGTATTGCAATTCTGGCTGCTGCGTTTGGAAGCCGTGTTTTTGCAAACATGTCTGGTCGCGGCAAAGGCGGGAAGGGTCTCGGCAAGGGAGGCGCCAAGCGCCACCGCAAGGTGCTGCGCGACAACATCCAGGGCATCACCAAGCCCGCCATCCGCCGCCTGGCCCGGCGCGGCGGCGTCAAGCGTATCTCGGGGCTCATCTACGAGGAGACGCGCGGGGTGCTCAAGGTCTTCTTGGAGAACGTGATCCGCGACGCCGTCACCTACACCGAGCACGCCAAGCGCAAGACGGTCACGGCCATGGACGTGGTCTACGCGCTCAAGCGCCAGGGCCGCACGCTCTATGGCTTCGGCGGCTAACTTTCGAGTTCTGTGAACTCTAGTAAAAACCTAAAGGCCCTTCTCAGGGCCACCCACTTGGTCACGTGAAGAGCTGCTAATACTTTCACATTTTGCTTTTCAGAATCTGTTGTATTTCGAATTGAATGCCCTGAATGTCGCAGGGGAACGAGTGGGATTAAGCCTTTAACTACAAAGCTGGCAGACTTGCATTGAAAGGCGGTTTTGGTAAATTTTATTCACACCCTCCCAGCTGTAAGTGTATTTCAACCCGGTCAGCTGTAGGGGGCACTGGAGTGCCCTCTCTTGCAAGCCTAGACATTTGGCAGCTCAGTGTAAAAGTGGAAAGCATGCTTAACTTGTTCTACCCACACTGAAAATAACAGTTTGCCAGTAGAGTGTCACTCTGCCTGCCTGCTAAATAATTACTGGAGTTCCCCTGCCTCATTATTTTAACGAAAGATGCTTAAAAACAAAATAGTGGCATAAGAAACTCTGACCTCCCATTTCCTTCTAAAAATAGGTGGTAAGAACTTCATTTCAGCTAGTCTTTGACAAACCAGGAGGGAAATAGCATTCTTAGCACCAGAGGCTGGGATTTTAAAAGAAATCTATGTAAACAAACCTTGTTTAACTCTTCATCTCATCATTAAATCTATCAATCAATCACATTACATTTCCATCATTACATTCCATTCTACCTTAGCCATGCCCCTTTTTGTCCTTATATTTGCATTGCTTATTAATTTGGGCAAGCTCAGGGGAACAACCCCCCACCCCTGTGGGTTCTTTGCAAGCTGGAACAACAAATTAACACCAGAGCCATTAGTAGAATAAAAAGACCAAATAACAATGGTACTGAGAATTTAAATTATTAGAGTCAAGGGGCAAACCAGAGGTTGACATCCTGTGCGAAGGGCCCTAGGGCATCAAGGAGAGAGGAGAGGGCTTCTCATGACAAGGTGAGGATGAGGATGACTTCATAGGACAAAACCTTGCCTCTAGATGTTTCTGTTTAGGGTAGATTTCTCTGGTAAAGGATTGTTGCTGGAGATGACCCTAAGGCTCGTTATTCTGCGTTCTCTAGCACAATGGTAGTAACAAAATAGTAAGTTACTCCTGAGACTTAACAGAACTTCTGTTGACCTTAGATGCACATCCTAAGTGACATGTATTAGAAAAGGCCTAGTCTGGGCATCTTGGGAAAAGCCTAACAATTTGGGGGAAACCCAGCATAAACTTTCAACCTGTACTTCTCTGAGTTCTTTTCCTTATATGAGTGCCTGTATCCCATAAAATTTACGCTAAATACATCAGTGTATTTCTTTCCTGTTCCCTCTGGGTTTTGTCCACTAAACTAAAAGAGACCTAAGAATACTGAGAGTAGAGGTTAAATTTTACTTCCCTGGGGCCCTCCCTGGTGGTGCAACAGCTTAAAACGCAGCATTATGAAGTGAGCAGAGCCACTGCATCATGTGTAATGTTTGATCCCCAGCCCAGAAGGTGAACAAGGTGTGGCAGACCTATCTTGCTGGCTCCCCTCAACACTGTACTTCAGTCAGTGCTCCTGTTCTGTTCCCCACTCATTCGCTACTGAGTTCTCTTACCCCACCACACCCCCACAGCTCTGGCCTGTACCCCAGTTCTTGTATGCATAAATAAATCAATCATTTTTTTAAAATTTGACTCCCCTATAAAAGTTACCAGGGGATCAAGGTAATTTCCCACCACAGCCTCAAGAATGATGTCTAGAAAGCAGTGTTTATTGTTAACCAGGAATTTTGCAGACACAAAGCACCACATGCTCCCTAGAGCTTGGCCCTTTGGTTTCAAATCCCACTTCCACTTAAAGATGTGGACAAATCATTTCCTGCTTCAGTATGTCTCTCTGTCCTCCTTTCTGAAACAGAGGTCATAATAATATGTCTATCTCAGATTGTGTTGAGGATTGGTAGTTTCACATACACACAACTGTACCTTACAAATGCCAACTTTAGTAGTATAGAAGAGAAAAACTATACATTAGATAATTTTCTTTTTACAAAGACTAAACATCATGTCATGGCTGTGTTGCCTGTTTCAAGCCTTTCCAACTAAAACTAAATTTTAATAAAAGAATTTCTTGTTTGGAATCCACTTTCAGGAGAGCAATAAACTTATTTGGTTCCAGAAACTAATTCCTTTCTGATTTTCTTCTGAGATTATGCACAGTCTCAAACAGCCATTTCTTGCGTTGGCTGCTCCACGGGGTGCATAAGAGGGTCTGCCTCCTTCCTGTTATCCCCAACTCTATTTAGAGATTATTTAGCTCTCCTAAATTGGGTGCATGGAGTTAACCTGTAACAATTAGTAAATCCTGTATGGTTTAAACCTTAACACCATCCATAAATTCTACTTCCAGTAATAAGGTAAAGAACTTACAACACTCCCAAAGTATTTAATAGCAACAAAAAAATCTGTAAACTCATTTTATGTATCATGCAGATGCCACTATTGAATAACAGCTACACCAGTTACCCTTCAGGTGTATCTCCCTCTCCACCTGGACGAGGCCACAGGAGGCTCAACTGTAGGAATTCTCACCCGTGTGTTTACATGCCCCGCTTCTGATTAAGCCAGTGAAAACTACCTCACAAGAGAATGAAATGGGTGTTGAGATGACTTCCCAGTTTATCGCTTTATCTGACTAGCTTTATATTAAGATTTGTGGAAATACATGTATGTATATATATATATATATATATATGGAAACAACAATACAGATATATTTGTTTCCACAAATCTTACTATATTTCTGAACCATTTTAAGTTGCAGGCATGAGATTGCATCTAACATTTCATCTAATAATGAAATACACCCACATAAAATCATCACCAATCTAAAAAAAAGTCACCTAAAATCCCTAACATCTTCCCATTCTCTCAGTTACCTACCAGGCACCCTTTATGGTTCCATCCATAAAGCCAGGATCCAAATATTAGCTTCAATTGACCATGTTTCGGCATTACTTTTTTTAAAGTAATTCTTACACAATGTCACACATGCAACACAGGACAAAACGGTGTAATACATGTAATGAGGTTATATATTGAGGTTCACGCTCAGTGCTCTGTATGGTTACCTAAAGATGAGGAAGCAGTGATGAAAAACAACTGAAATAGAATCTCAACACACTGCATACCAAATGCTTAACCAAGATCCTCCACCTAGATGAAGCTTCATTCAACTACACAGCAGGTACCACAGTACTTGAAAGCTAGGAACAGAAATACTTGGCTTTCCACGTTAGCAAGGTACACACAAAGGTGCTAAAGCTCTTTCCTTGAAAACATGGGTGGCCCTGAAAAGGGCCTTTAGTTTTTCCTCTAGACTGCAGATCGAACTAACTTAGCCGCCAAAGCCATAGAGCGTGCGGCCCTGGCGCTTGAGCGCGTACACCACGTCCATGGCCGTGACCGTCTTGCGCTTGGCGTGCTCGGTGTAGGTGACGGCGTCGCGGATCACGTTCTCCAGGAAGACCTTGAGCACCCCGCGCGTCTCCTCGTAGATGAGCCCCGAGATACGCTTGACGCCGCCGCGCCGGGCCAGGCGGCGGATGGCGGGCTTGGTGATGCCCTGGATGTTGTCGCGCAGCACCTTGCGGTGGCGCTTGGCGCCTCCCTTGCCGAGACCCTTCCCGCCTTTGCCGCGACCAGACATGACCACAAGTCAGATCTCACCAACGAGTGAGCTAGACGGTGAACGCCTGCAGCCTCTTATGTAGCAACGGAGCGGACCTTGTTGAAAACGGAAAAACCTGGTAAGGCGGGAAACTGCAGCGTCTCCGCCCCTTCCTTCTGCGGCTTAACCACAGGGTAAAGAAATTTCCTGAAGTCTTTTTTTTTAATTTCTAAATCAATTTCAAATACGCACATAGTGTAATTTCCCTCGTTTGTGTATATATGTACGTAAAGTTGTGTGCGTTCTACATATATTCTTGCATTACAAGCCACACTGGTATTGAAATAATAGCACAAGTCCCAGGAATAAAAGAATTCATAAACTGCCAAGCAACTCAGCCAGGCTTCAGGGTTGGAATCCACGAGCGGCTGCTTTCAAAATGTGTTCTTGTTCATGGTTATTAATCCAGCCGAGCCTGAGTGGCCTCATAGATAAATTACTTGTTGGTGACTGAGTTATTCTCAACAAAATGACTGGCATCTACTTCATGAACAATAACTTCCAACTGCACAAACTTCTGTTAATAAAAAATTGGAATTTTTTTTTTTAATACAGCCAGGACAAAAGTACATGGAAGGCTTTCAAAACCTTCCCAGTGTAACGTGTACAGGGAAGGCAAGGTTTTCCTTTTCTGGAGGGTAGTGTATGGAATTCAAGCTAATTTGTCATAAATGCTAACCCTGGGCAAAGGGATGTTATTGTAAGTACCTGAAAAGAAAATGTGATCATTCCAAGATTTTATATTACAAAAAAATATTTCCTGAGCTAGTTACCTGAGACTATTAGCTATATATTATATACTTAGGATAAGTTGTTCAAAATAAGAGCTGGATTTTATTGTGCAATTAATACGTACCAAGCACACTGTCCTAAACACCAAGGATTAGCTCAGCCAAGTACCCCTTCAGAAACTTTGAGACTACTAAATATCAAATTTTGAAACTATTTTAGATGTAGGAATGGGCAGCAATATCTAAAAAGTCAGGTACCCACATAAGGAACCAAACCTCAGACCAATGTACATGTCACACTAGAAGCAAGTCCCTCCAAAAAAACTGCATGCAAAAGAAAAATTACAATTCGTTAAGCAAGTGCTAGAATGCAAAGAATACAAATTAGCAACTGAAAAAGAATTATCACAATGTCCTTTTTTACCTTGTTCTTTTGAAATGACTTCAGAAGTTTCAACTGTACCTAGAGACCCCTGAACCCAGTTTCTCCCTAAAGGTAACTTCTTTATAACTATATTATATCAAAACCAAAGAACTGGCACTTGAAAAAAAAAATTAACTAGACTATGTGCTTTATTCGGCTCAATTTTACAGTCACTCCTTTGCATATCTGTATTTATGGCTTGTCCTATGCAATGTCATTCCTCCTGTAGATACATGTAATACAACAATACAGATATAAAATTATTCCATCTCACTAAATAACTTCTAAAGTATGAGGGCAGAATTCCATCAGGGAAGCAGGCCTCACTCAGAGAGAAGGTGGGAGGTTCTTTGTTAAAGCTGGAGGGCTTAAAGGAGATCTTTCCTTAATCTGAGCCCCTTAGCAGTGAGGCAACTGGATATTTATTGCCTAAAGGAGTGAGTAAGGGGAGGTTGGGCAGGGGACAATATCACGTTAAAGCCTGTTGGGATACAGAAGCAAGAGATTTCTAAGCAGTTAAATGGGAAAAGTCAGGGTCTTTGAGACCCTTTATCAGCAACTTTCTGGAACTTTCAGTCTACAATGAGATGCTTTGCTTCAACATTAGATGTTTTCCATCTACACACCTTTCTCCTGTTATCTATCACTAATTTAGTCATTTTGAGACTATTATTCAAGTAATAACAGATGTAAGCTTTTGAGATTGACATTTCATCACTAAGCATTAAGCCAGGTTGCTACATTTATCAGCCTCCCTTTTCACTGGTTTGAATTTTGTTACTGTAATGAGTTTAACCACACAACAGTAGAAAGACAATAATCTATAATGCATTTTTACCATAAAAAAAGACTTTAAAGCTTTGTTTTTGTTTCTCCCAGCCATTTTATTTTGTATTTACTGTATTCCATCTTAAAAAGGCATGTCTTAAAGAAGCAGAAGTGCTGCAAGAATGGCTGGGAACCTAAATGCACTTGAACTCAGGTCCCAGAAAATCACTGTTGCTCTTAAGGATGCTTAAAGGTTCAAAAATACAACACTGGGTTGTTTTGTTTCTGAAATTCGACTCGTGGGTTCAGACTGGCTCCTGGAGTCTGCAATGTTCACTGAACCGCATCCAGCTTGTTGGGTTGCTGCCTTAGGACTTTTGCTCTCTTGGGAGCAGAGCTATTCACTTTGCTTCGAAGGAGGCCCAACAGTCTGCAAATGCATTTCCCCAGGCTAGAAGCAAACCCAGCAACAAGGTTAGGTAACCTTTTGCAAAGGTCTGTAAAACCTGAATCCACAAACCCTGCATTGCTTTAGGGCTTGTTATACAATTCCCCATTTATCTGAAAAGTTACTCCCTAATTGTCTGGTTCTTATGGATTTCCAGCAAATAGAATTATTCAGCTTTGTCAGTACAAGGCTCAATTCCGCCTTTTGAACTGCTTCTCCTGCAGGGCAGACACAATCCACACAATAACTTTTCCATCTTCTGGAAACTCTGGATTAGAGGTCTGTGAAGTGACCTTAATCACTACTCCAGGCCCTTCTGATCAGCATTGCCAGACAGTAGGCTTCCATGCTAGTGTTAGTGCATGAAGTTTTGTTACCAAGTTACCCACTATAGGGTAGTTCTCTCTGCAAGGACAAAGCAATCTTCACCTAAACTACCCCACCCCCAACCCCCTGCAACCCCTTCACAGGGAGAGCTGCCACTCAACAGCCCCGAGCCCAAGGAAACCTATTGGGAGCCCCAAGAGCCACTCAGCTTACCCGACCCCAGGGGCACCCTGAAGTGTAGACAAAAAGATAGGGGAGGCAAATTAATGGCTAGCGCCTCAGGAAGCAGTTTAACCACTCCAGCTCCTTACCACACGGTTAGAAGCATAGAGGGAGCTGTTGGGGCAGCTTCCTGGCGCCTCTTAACAAATCTGCGGCGGCCCATGCACATACGCCACACCTCCCGCTTCCCCCTCCGGAGGCACAAATCGGCAGTTTCCAGCCCTTTTAAGTTGAGATTGTAGGTGGCTCTGAAAAGAGCCTTTGGGTTTGAAGCTGGTACTACTTAGGGGCAACTTAAGCCCGCTCGCCACGGATGCGGCGCGCCAGCTGGATGTCCTTGGGCATGATGGTGACGCGCTTGGCGTGGATGGCGCACAGGTTGGTGTCCTCGAACAGCCCCACCAGGTAGGCCTCGCACGCCTCCTGCAGCGCCATCACGGCCGAGCTCTGGAAGCGCAGGTCGGTCTTGAAGTCCTGCGCGATCTCGCGCACCAGCCGCTGGAACGGCAGCTTGCGGATCAGCAGCTCGGTGGACTTCTGGTAGCGCCGGATCTCGCGCAGCGCCACGGTGCCCGGCCGGTAGCGGTGCGGCTTCTTCACGCCGCCCGTGGCCGGTGCGCTCTTGCGAGCCGCCTTGGTGGCCAGCTGCTTGCGGGGCGCCTTGCCGCCGGTGGACTTGCGAGCCGTCTGCTTGGTGCGAGCCATGACATTAGATTGCAAGCAACGGTTACAACTGGAAGCGTAGCTGCTCTTGCGCCTATTTATAAAGGCAAAGTGCTCCTGATTGGTCCGAATCTTCAAATTCCGCGCGCTCAGAGTTAAGTCCCTTCATAAGCTCTGTGATTGGCTATTACGTGTCCCTTTAGAAAATCTTGACCTATTGAAGCATTTTATCCTCCTCGGTCCTTTATCCACACTGTAGTCTCACATACACTTTCACTGATTCTGTTTTACTCCCTTTGTTTGGGGTTGAAAATAGGAAGAGATGAACGTTACACCTTTCCGCAAGGGTCTCAAATTTCACCTTTGAAGGTGTCTGAGCCAGTCGAATTCGTCCTGTATCGTTTTCATTGCTTCTGATTTTAAAAACATTTTTAGTAATGCAAGCGTTAACCATAATCCCAAACTCTCCAACAAACGCTGGCATCATTTCCAGATCAGGTTAAACTGTAAATGAAAGCAGCATACATTTGAAAATATGCAAGCGTATAGCTACTTTCTGTTCTTATTCCCAAAGTCAGTGACCCGTAATGCAATTTGGCAAAATGCTAAGGAACTATAAGTTTATGTCCGGCTTTTGTTCCCTTAGGTCGGTTCTAGAGAGTAACAGGTTTTACAAACATAAACTAATGACAAGATGCTCATCTTTCACATTGTTGAGAAAGCAAAAAAATTTTTTCTGCAGATGAGAGGAAGAATGTGGGGTTATTTTCACAGCAAAAGAGCAGTCTTGAATTCACCTTATTTGCATGAAAGGTTTTTACTGGCTCATTTTCTCCAATCAGAGCTCGAGATAGCATAATCCCTATTTGCATAGAAGCCCTACAAAAATAGGGTCAAGTTTTCAAGAAACACGTATTCTGCTGGGTTTTGTGTGCAAGTGTGCATCATGCCAGAGCCAGCCAAGTCCGCGCCCGCCCCGAAGAAGGGCTCCAAGAAGGCGGTGACCAAGGCGCAGAAGAAGGACGGCAAGAAGCGCAAGCGCAGCCGCAAGGAGAGCTACTCGGTGTACGTGTACAAGGTGCTGAAGCAGG